TGGTGGCTGCGTTGGAGAGAGCCTGGCAGGACTCGGAGGTTGACTGGCAAAACTGCTGCTGTGCCACCTGGGCACAAGAAAAGTGCCAATTTCACCCAGGAAAACATGATCTAGAAGAACCTCTAAAAATCCTCCCCAACAATCAGAGCCCAATCCTTGTTATTGCAGGAAAAATCTTCAATGCACGACCCAAGAACTCCCTGAATGTTCAAGAACACCCACAAATTCTGTAAAAATAGCTGGTAATTTATTTATTTGATTTAATTATGAGCCTAGCTTGTGATTTTTGGGGTGGGGCTGGAGTTAGTGATGCTGAAGAAGCAATTTAGAGAAAAGCCCAGGCAAGTCATCAGCTCTGGGGAGCAGAGGAGCTCCTTGGGTTCTTCCTTATGAATATCAGAGCATTGCAGAGCCCACCGAGGGCCCTGAAGCTCCTCAGGTGAGGAGACCATCAACGGTGTGACCGTTTCTTCCCGGGAACGCCACAGGCCTTTGGCCCTGCGGACTGTGGATGAGGCTGGTGTCAGGGTCATGGCCATGGCCAGTGTGTTGGAGGGACCGGTTGACTTCTTCCTGCCTACGCACCCAGGGTGACCAAGGGTAGATTTGTCATGGGGAGCATTAGCTGCCCCTGGGCGGGTTGTCCTTCCCACCCCCATTGGGCTGTGCAAGTGGGAGACCTCCAGCACCAGGGAAGGTGGCTGTGGGGGACACCTCCCTGACGTGAAGGTGGGCTGGGAGGCTGCTGTGCCCTGATGCACATCACAAACCCAAACCTGCAGTCTTTGCTGGTTTAGTTGGATAGAAAACCCCCCTTCCCTGTTTCCAGAGTTCGCCACCTCGTTCAGTTCGAGCCTTTGTGCTATCTCTCTCCTCCTTCCTCCCTTCCAGCACGTGCCTCTCCTCTCCAGCCTGGGACAGCCCCCGAGATCAGCTGCTTGTGGAGCACTCCGCCGAAAGCAGTCCTAAACGGTGTGGCCTTTGTTCCCCCCAGCTGTCGTATCCTCCGGGATCTGCAACAAGTCCTCCTTTTCCAGACCCCGTCTTGTCAGTCCCCAAGCTGATCTGACCACCTGGTTTGTTTTTGAATCGAGCACTTGAGTCATAACATTTCCGTTTATTTCAACAACTGTATTCCTTGCATAGGAAATGAGCCAAGATGGTCCAAGGCGGGGAGAGCGAAGCCTGTCGTGGTTGTAATTGCTTTTGCTCTCCCAATATCAAATTTTACAGTATAATCAAAATCTTATTTTTGTACTGCTGGACTCTGTTATTGACTTAATCTTCTTAAGTGCTCTTATTATTCCAGCGATTTCATCGTTGCATGTTGATTTTAATCTTTTGATCTCCATATTAGCTACTGCCTGCAACTAATTTGTTGCTCAGTGTTTTTCTTTGTTTTGACCTGTGAGGCATTTTCCTCATGGCACACAACTCTGCTGGCAGATTGCATATAATCTCTGCACTTCTTTTTTTTTTTTTTTCCCTCCCATATTTTGCATAGTTACAACAAATGCAGATTTACAACTTGAAATGGAATATGCATCTTTTAGAAAGGCTGAGGAAAATATCACTTCAGGTTTAGCTCGGGAGCCTAAACATGCTTGAATAAAGGAAACACGGCTGAGCACGGCTCACTGGAGAGCGGTGTCACGCCGGCTTTTTAGCCCAGCAAGTTTAGGATGGGTGGCGAGCGCAATACTTGTAACTTATATTACATGCAGTCAGGGATCAAAGAGTTTCTGAAGGCGCTGCGAGACCTAAGGTGAAGAAGGCTGGGTTTTGTGAATGGCTCAAGGGACTCTCCTAGCTGGACGCAGCGGTGGCTCCGTTGAATCGTGACACCACGGAGCAGGTCTGTGGCGGCGGCGGTAGCGCAGAGCTGTGAGCTTGGCAGAGGTTGGAATATGGCTCGGCTGCGTTTTGGTTGGCCCTTAGATGGGTGATTTATCCCTTGGTAGTTGATGGTTTAACCTGTGCTGATTTGTTGGGCGCTTTGTTTGCTTTAGCTTGTTTCTTTTAAAGCCTCGAGGAGTAATTTTTGCCTTAGGTTTGCTGTGACTTTTTTGAAAAGAACACAGCCTGAACACTGACAAAATCATCTTTGCTTTGCTGCATGCCTGTTTATGCTTCTGAACACAAATCGTCTTCTAATATTTTTGACGTTTTGGTCACTAGAGAGGCTGAAAAGCAATTTCTAAGATGCCTATGGGCCAGGAGACATGCATTACAGCAGAGGGGAAAGAATCTGTTAGTTGCTGAAATCTAAAACAAATTGGATGAACAGCTGCTGACACTTGTCAGTCAAATAGTTGATAGCATTTTCAGTCTCCATGCCACATGCTTTAAGTAAGTCTGTCAAAAAAAGGATATTTTCGCTGGACTTCCCTGTAAATATGAGAGAAGTTTTGGCCTGATCTATCATTTAAAATTTTGCTGGCAGAAGAATGAAATTTTCCTCTTTTCCCCAAACTGATTGACATAACTGTACTGGCAGAGTCTCCATCTAGGTGCAGTTGTACTGGCAGGAAGTCCTTTGACTGTTGGAGCTTGTTCCTTCGCAGCGATGGGTTGAAGCAGAACCAGCAGCAGCCCTTGGCGTTCCCCGGCTGGCTTTGCTGGAGTGCTCCCATCCCTCAGCAAGCCCTTCCCGGTGCTGCCCAGGGTGCAGCTTTGCTCTGCGGGGCCAGGAGTGTAAACCCATCGGCTGTGGTCTGAGCTCAAACCCAGTTTTATGTTTTTCAGACAAAACCAAACCATTTTGGAGTCAGCATTTCTGCGGGATTAACTGGAGCTGACGCTTCTCACACCCGGTACGGTAGTGCGGCACCCATACGGGGCAGGGTCGGGATGCCAGCACCCACATCACCATTTGCAGGGTCAGAGGCAGTGGGGATCAGGGTACAACCTTTGCTCAACCACAGCCTACAGGCTCTGGAGTGGGAGGTTAACTCCCGCTTTGCAGCACTGCTCGTACACGGGTTCTCCACGCGTACGCTGAAGTAGGTAGCTTGAAGCTCATCATTTGGGTTCAAACTCCTTAAAAGAAATAAGCTGGCTAATGCTTCCTTCTTTCAAACTTGAGGTCAAGCCCGACGTCCTCAGGGCTGTTACGGAGACTCTGGGTGCTTTATTGAGGTTTGAGGACTCGCCGAAAGCTGTCACAGCCTATGGGGTCATTGCTAATGACAGAGGAACTCAGCCAAGGGTGTTTCGGGGAGGCACCTCTGTGTGTTAGTGATGCACAGCCAG